ACCGTGGGTATACCATGCTTAGCCTGTGTGTAGTCTGTGTGTATACCGTGCGTAGTCCCTGTGTAGACCGTGTAGGCCGCGCGTCAAAGATATGCATACGAACAGGTGACTATGCAGGAGAACCCATCAGTGGCCCTGTCTCACGCAGCATAACTGCAATTATGCCATCACGCAGGAATGCCTCACGCTGCTGCTCGCGAAGCAGCTGGGAGGACAAGGACAGGATAAATACCCCCCGGCGTCGCAATGAGGAGTGCGGCGTGCTCGTCTATATATGTGTGTGCAGGAAACAGAAACGGATGGCGCATTTGCCACAATGTTTGCTTTTTTAAGGAGGGAGGGGCAGCGTAAACGCGAGCCAAATTAGGCACAATGGAGAAAAAATGCGCGCAAGGGCACACTTATGTGGACATTTTTACACGTACGGGGGGGAAACCAAATGAGAGGGACATGCGCCGCGAGCGCCATGAACATCACACAAAAAAAAAATAAAAAAAGAAACGAAACGAAAAAAAGAGGACCAAAAAAGGGGCCAAAAAAGGGGAATTCCCGGGGGGAAGAAAAAAATTCCAACACAGAGCGCAAAGGGAACACATGGAGATCACTACACACATGACACATCGCGCACATGCTAAGCGGAGGCTCCCTCCCCTCGTTAGACTTTCGCCCCGTCGTAATTCACGATGACGGTTTTTTTTATCAATTTATGAAGGGAATACTTGTCCAAGATATTTTGAAAGCGCTCGAAGTCCTTGATGCTGCCCTGTCTGTACTGACTTAACACTAAGGACTGGTGTGTCTCACATTTCAGCTTTATAAGTTTTCTGAACATGTTAATATTTTCAACATTGTTGAGGAAAATTGCATGCAGTTTGTGAGGAAGGTTATGTAGGTTCTTCAGGATGTTGTCAATGGTATGAAATTGTTTCAGCAAATGCTTGCTAGTCTTATCGCCTATATTTGGGATGCCTGCAATTCCATCCGTTTTGTCTCCAGCCATGATGAGGTAGTCACTGTATTGAGCAGGCAATAAGTTATGCTCTTGGATGAACGTACTAGCGTCAACTAGTCTGTACTTCCGATTCGGTTGGCATATGGTTATGTTCATGTTATTGTGAGTATCGTCGTTGTATTCGAGAAGCTGCAGGAGGTCTTTATCACTGGAGACGACGATGACTCGGAATTGCTTCTGTGTTGTTGTTTCTCCTGCATTTGGTGAATAGTAGTGGGGAGGAGTTCCTTCCCTAAGAGTGTTACTAATACTATCTACAATGCCAGCAATGTAGTTATCACTTTCTACATCGATGGAGCTAACTGTTTTGATTCCAATGAGATCGCAGAAGTCGCTCACAAGTTTGAGTTGTTCATATAATTCTTCTGGATTTTTCCTCCTCATAATTTTATACTTGTCGTAAATCTTCTTCTTCTCATCATTGGACGTCTTGGAGTCGAAAACGATGACCACGTAGGACGGGCAAAACAGTTTGTACACTTTGTTCAGAGATTGGATAAAGCCATAAATGGTACTTAAATTTATTTCACTCTCATTTTTCAAGTATGGCATTCCGAAAAAATTTTTAAATAAAATCGAAGAGCCGTCTACTATCAAAAAGGTTTCCATATCATTTTGGGGGTTACTTTCTTTCTGTGTCTCCGTCCCATTTATTTTTCTCCTTACTGCGTCCAGTTTGATGTATCTGTAACTGGATATGTTTCTTTTTCGCTTCGCCCCTTTTGTGTGTTGGGCGACGCTCCAAATGTACAGTTCTTTTCTGTGTGCACATTTACGCGGTGAATTTTTTTTTTTTTCTGAGGGGAAAGCCTGGGGGGGGGTCCTTCTTCTTTCCTTCAGGTTTATCTTCACGTAGCCATCACTACGGCTGGAAATGGAACTACCACTTCCGTGAACAGCCCATAGTATGCACCATTTCATGGCAAGAATGAGGATGGCCCCAAGTGAACCATTCATTTTGCGCTCCCTCGTGTGGCGTTTTCTCCGCTTGTCATTGTTTCAGTGGGAGTTTTTTCTTTTTTTTTTTTTGTTCCCTCTCCTGGATGTACCATCTTGTTATAACACTTTGTGTGACTCTACGTTTGAATATATTCACTCGGGAATGTCAATTGGGAACTGCTGCTTTTTTTTTTTTTTATCTATTTATTTTTTTTTCTCCTTTTGATGGGCGAAAAAGGGCTACACATGTGGGGTACAGCACTTTTCACGTTTGCAGTGGCCGCGTCCGGTGCTATGTCTGCGCGCACTGAGAGTCACTGCCGTTGGATAGTGAAGCCGAAGCGGTTGGTGGACCTATGAGGACACCTCCGTTGGGGCATGTACATCTTCACTGCGGTGTTGTATTTTTTTTCTCTTTTTATTAAATCATCGCTTCGTTTCGATGCTTGGGAATAAATAAAAAAAAAAAAAAAGAAAAAAAATCTTTCGTCTGTGTTGTTTAGATTGGTAATTGCGTCATCATTATGGAACGTTATTTCGTCAGTTTCTCTTTTTTATTTTAAAGTACGTACACAGGAATAGGCTGTGTTGAATGTGCTGCCTTTTTCTTTTTTTTTTTTTTTCTTTTTTTTCCCCACGGGTTTGGCCTTCCTCAGGGAAAACGACGAAATGGGAAAGATGTGTCTATAAAAAAGGGATAAGAAAAGGATAAAAAAAAAAAAGATACATTTAAATCTCTTAGAGACGACTATTACGGGACAAGATATGATGAGTGTATTGCTTAAAGAAGGAATGAATGAGAGAAATAAAGAAAATGCATGTAGCTGTGCAGCTGTATAAATAATAGAGACGTAGCAGGCCACTTATCGTTTCATCGTGTACACACGTGTCGATATGTATGCACAACACGCATGCATAACACGGATGAACGTGGTAATTAGCCTCCCGTCAAGTGTGCCCCCACGTAGCAGTACACCCTTGGTTGTAACCCCCTCAGGGAGGTCACGGGCCTGTATATTTATGTCAACATGTTGGTGTATTTTCTGCTGCTATCTCTATGCACAAATATATTTCGTTTTGCTTTTCCCCAAGCTATTTGAGGGGACATACCACTCACCTCTTTGTGTTTGCGCATTTTTACAACTCTTTTTTTGAAGCCACTAATTGTTAATTATCTGTGGGGTTGTCCCCCTTTTGTGACGTTGTCCCTTTTTTGTGAGGTTGTCCCTGTTTTTTGGCGGGGCCCCCCTGTGGTTTAAGCAAGTCACCCGGAGCTTTACGCGGTTGTATGTACGCATAGCTGCATGCAAACCCGCCAGTGTGCCACCTGCACTCATATCCGCGCGCATCAATGAGCACGTGTCACGAGGGTTGCTTGCACGCCTAGAGTTTTGTTTCCGCACCATGCCGTTTATTTCTGCGCCACGCCCCCCCCTTTTTAACATTCGCGTTAATTTTTAATTGTCATTTTGAAGTATTTTATGTCATAAGAATATTTTTGTGAAATTATTTGTTTGTTCTACTTGATTCATTTGTGCCACCGTGCAGGCGTCCCATTCCTTTTGTTCGCCTTTTTGTGTCTTTGCCTTTTTGTTTCTTCGCCTTTTCGCGTCTCCACCTCTTTACCTTTTCGCGTCTGAATTGTTCCCGGATAGACAAACATAACGACTCGTAAGGACACGCTGCAGTTTGTGCAATCCACTCCATACCCAGTTCCACGCCACCGTGTGGTGGCAGCTGCGAAGAGCATCACACCGATAGTTCTCCAGACGAGCGAACATCGCGGAGATCACGCAGATCACGAACACCACGCAGATCACGAACACCACGCAGATCACGAACACCACGCAGATCACGAACACCACGCACACCACGGATACCAGGCACATGTAGATAGGGACCTTCCCCCCATGGGGGCATCCTTCGAATGAATGGTGCATTGTATAGCCGCTCCCACACACATTAATCTACCCTTGTCGTCTTATACTCACCTTTCGTTGTGAACTCCTCTTTGATCCCGCGTTTCTCTTTTTCTTCTTTTTTAACCCTTTTAACACTTCCTTCGTTTCGCAAATGCTGGAATATATGAGAGAACGGAAAAAATATGGAAATAACCTCCCGAGAAGTTTATCGTCCAAACTAAATAAAAGCAAAGTGATTCAGAAAAACATATGTTGTAATTACAAGACGATACAGATGATTGACATATATGAGAACATGCCGGTTAACAGTCTAGGGATTGAACGCTCTCCGATTAAGGAAATCGTTTTGGCGAATGATGTGATCGTTGTTTTGTTAATCTCTGGGATATCTAGAGCCTACGATGTGGTGAATGGGAAGTTTCTGTGCGAAATTAATCCGAGCAGTTATTCAGTGGTCCATACAATTGTGCACAATTCGTACAACAACACCTTGATCGTGGCGTACGCGTCTTTCCCGGCCCACCTGCAGTGCAAAGTGATCGACTGCTGTGTAAGGCGGAGAAGGCGAGGGAGAAAGACACGACGGCTTGTCCATAGGCGTGGTCGCGAAAGATGAGACTTGGCCAAATTATATCCGTTTATGGAAAATTGTGCATTACATTCCATTTGTGCATTACATGCCATTTGTGCATTACATGCCAAATAGGCAATACATGCCCATTTTGGTGTTCTTTTTTCCTTTCTTTCCGCCAACAGGACCTAAGAATAGGAAGAACAGACTCATCCAAACTTGGCACCCTGTTCGGTAACCCACGCTCCACGACAATGGAAGGAGACAAAATGGGGAGCGAAAAGATGTCGCAGCGGTCTTTCCTACCTGGGTGCACTATACATGGGTACACCATTCTTGAGTGCATCATACATGGGTGCATTCCCCCAGACTTCCGCTGTTTAAGCATTTTTTTTCCCTATTTACAGAAAAGGTCATCCTGAGTCACCCCGCCTTCTTTGAATTCTGCGGTACGAAAATGGGAAGAGGACATCCCGATGAGCGCGTGTTTCGATATACCCATGTGAGGAGTGGTTCCGTGGAAGGATGAGAGTGCGGAAAGGCTTAGCACCCTTCTTTATGTTGCCTCCTCTACCTACGAAAACAAGGGGTTTATCTTCTTATTGACGCCTTTTTCCTCCCCCCCCCCCTCCTCCAAGAGACAAACGGACGAATAGGAGCTGCTAACCTAAATACCAACTCGTACACCTTTTGGGACATGCGGACATATGAGCAAGTGTTTGAAATAGAAGAAGAATTTCAGGAAATCAGGTGTGTAAGATGTGGGGGAGAAGTCTCTTTATGTAATCCTGTGCATCTGTCGTGAAGGCACATCTGTGTGAACTCACATGTGGTGAACTCACATGTGGTGAACGAACATGTGTGCTTATAAGCAGGCGGGATGAAATATGAGCAAATATGTGTATTCTCCAGGAAAAAAAAAGAAAAAAAGAAAAAAAAAGAACATATCGACACAGATATAGAATTGAACTGTTGTATGTGTTTCCTCCTACCCATCATTAAAAAGGAAAACATCACCCGCTTTGTTTTTTTTTTTTCTGCAGAGTTTCGGACGGATTGGTAGCCATGTTTAAGCAACCCATAAATAACACCATTCCTTTGGCCTTGTTTGACATAGAAAACGGGGAGAGACTTGTATGTCCTCATTTTATACCTTTTGGGAAGTGCCCACTTCTCTGCATGTGTATAATATACTTCTTTGTATGCTCAAAAATTGGGAAAGCTAAATGGTGATTCTTTTTCCTCCTTTTTTTTACTTTCCACACCAGGTGGAGACGACCATATCGATTTTGCCAAGGAAGGAAATGCAGTTCCTGGAGCTGCTCATTTCGAAGCTGTTGGTAATAAGCTGGAGGGGGTGGAGGTTTATATGCCCACTACCGTCACACTTACAGAAGGTTTCTATTACTGTTATTTGGACTGTCCCCCGCAATCGTCCCTCTCTTCCATGTGCTTAGTGCTTCTTCTTAACTTCACTCCGTTTGTGTTAACATCATTTGGACGAACACGGACCGGTCTTTTTTTTTTTTTTTTTTTTACCTTTTTAGATAAAGCAGGAGGGGTCCTCGCTACGAATTTACGACTTGTTGAAGAAGACGAGACAGAAGGTTAAAAACACGTACACATTTCAGCCGACGGCTTTTGTGTTTTACGATGTAAGGGACTGGAATGAGTGCATGTGAGGAGGGTGTGTGTTGAGGAAAGGTGCTCACGGAGGGAGGCATGCCGAGCACAGCGCTGTCTGTATGCTCCCCTATCCCCTGTTGCAGTGGTTTCCCCTTACCCATAACGCTCTTTATACGAATTTTTTCCCCCGTTTTCAACTCCCTTTAGCACCCATCCCCCATAAATGGAAAGGTCTACCACAACCAGGTGAAGTTCATACGGAGATTTTCACCCATGGAGATACGCACATAAATGTGAACATGCATGCGTCGGGCGAGTATCTTTTGCTTTAAAATATCCGTGTCGAGAGTTAACATAAGATCGGACAACTTTGTCTTTAACTTGTGGGAAAATAACCTACGTGATGTAGCAGTGTGAAATCGTTCTTCTTCTTATTATTATTTTATTCTTTTCTTTTATCTACCCGCCAGATAAGCAAAAAGTTCTTCACAATATCGTGGGACTTAATCGAATTTTGGGAGCTAGACGCGAGTGTGTTGAAGAAGATGTATGCCATTCATGTCCCAGGTGTGTTTTCTTCTCCACTCCCCCTGGAAAAGGGGGAACCTCAGTCCTACCCGTCTGTGAACATGTACGTTCACCTATGCGGAGTACATTTTTACATCCCAAACGTCCGCCTTGTTTGCCCCTTTCCTCCTGTTGGCAGGGCTGAGAGATCCGGACCTGTGCAACCACAGCTTGATGGCGGAGATCCTGTGCCTATACAGCTCAAGCAGATTACAGAGGATAAGGTTGTGCGAAAGCTTCTTCAATTATGCAGATTGTTCGGACACTAAGAGAGGAGAGGCACGTGACATCGCCACGAGGAACATGCGCATGAGTACGCGGGATAGGAGCGAAATATTTAAGACCAGAATACTAAGAAATAATATCCAAGATGAAAAATTAAAGAATAACATAATTAGTGAAAGTTTTGATTTTGGTGCCCTTTTATTTTTTTCCTTACGTGACGGGGAATTCCTGAATTATATTTCGGAGAGTGTATGTGGGAAGTCCGTGGAGGTCCTTGCCTCGAATAGCTCCATGACGGTATGACCAATTAGGCGCAGGGGAGAAGTGGTCCGGGGGTACAGTCCTGTGCAGGCGAGTTGACGGATACACCCCCTATGTGGATTACCAAACTGATACGTTTAGCCGCGAACGGTTTCATTTATTTTCCCGTCGAAATAGGAATCCCAGGGCTCACATTTATGTGCGGAGATATTGTACCATGTACACCTTTTCTGAGTTCACCATTTGCATTTCAACTTGCGGAAATCTTTTTTTTTAATTTTTACTCAGACCATCATCTGCGGGGACGATAAAGGCTTCATTCGAATTTTAAGGAACTATCCCAAAATTAGCGAATCGGAAATGAAGAGTGAAAAAAATGTTAGGGTAAGTGTTGTCCGGGAGGGGAAGGACGATCTTCTGATATGCCCACAGATTGCGTTGCCACACAGAGAGCAGGGTCACGCCCACAGAGTCACACCAACAGAGTCATTTGTTGAAGAAAAGACAGGGAGTACCCCTGTTGCTTCTCCTCCCCCCTTTCTCAATATCTCTCTTCACAAAATTGCAGAACTGTCCCGAATGCTTGCGTGCGAGTTTGCTGAGGGTATTGGGGCTCCCCGAAGAAGATCCAGAAAAAATTTCGCGCAGAATTAAGAGGAAACAAAATTATCAACGACAGAAGGATTCCGCGAAGAAGGCGAAGATCGAGAAGCGCTCGGATAATTGCAGTAGGCACACGTGAGTCAGCCCATGCGGTGTATGGATACGGTAGGTCGATCCAATTTTCCGCGTGCCCGTACCACATCCAATTTCGTCACTACTGCGAAATCGTATTTTTATAAATATCCCATTGTCCCACTGTTTTTTTTTTTTTTTTTTTTTCCCGTGAGATAGCAAATGGTAAGTTAATCAGTGTCAAATTAATTTGCACAGAAGTTGTTACGTGTGTATATGCTCCTTTGTATGCACGTCTGCTCGTTAGCTTCTCTATCCCACGTTGTTACTCTTTGTCGCCACACGTTTAGTCACTTTTCATTCGGAGTAGAAAAAAAAAACATAATTAAACAAGTGCACATATGCACAGAAACCC